CACCCAGTGGAGCCTCCGGCGGCCAGTCTACGGTCTCCGCCAGGCACCGCGTGAGTGGCACGATATACTGAGGACTACGCTTGCGGCTCTTGGGTTTGCTCCCTCTACTGCCGACCCGTCGCTGTTTCTGCGCACCGACACCTCTTTGCCGCCGTTCTACATCCTCGTGTACGTCGACGACTTGGTCTTTGCCACTGCTGACACTGCTGGACTCGCCCAAGTGAAGTCGGAGCTGCAGAAGAGACACACGTGCACAGACCTGGGTGAACTGCGCAGCTACCTTGGCTTGCAGATCACCCGGGACAGAGCACGCCGCACCATTACCCTGGCTCAGTCACACATGGTGCAGCAGGTCCTTCAGCGCTTCGGCTTCACGTACTCCTCGCCTCAGGCCACTCCTCTGCCTACTCGCCACTCGCTCTCAGCTCTGCCTTCGGATGAGTCCGTAGAGTCAAGTGGCCCGTACCCAGAGCTTGTTGGCTGCCTCATGTACCTGATGACCTGCACACGACCTGACCTTGCATACCCTCTTAGCATTCTTGCACGCTATGTTGATCCTGGGAGACACAGACCGGAGCACATGGCTGCAGCAAAGAGGGTGTTACGCTACTTGTGCAGTACGTCGGGCATGGGGCTAGTGCTTGGAGGGCAGAGTCCAGTGGTCCTCACTGGGCACGTAGACGCTTCTTGGGCTGACGACCAGGCTACACAGCAGTCATCACAGGGTTACACCTTCAGCCTTGGTTCCGGCTCTGTTTCGTGGCGGGCTACTCGCTCGTCTTGCGTTCTCGGCTCCAGTTGTGAGGCTGAGATCTACGCAGGAGCCATTGCTGCTCAAGAGCTACGCTGGCTCACCTACCTGCTGACTGACCTCGGAGAGCCGCCTCGTTCTCCTCTAGTGCTGTACGTAGACAACAAGGCCATGCTGGCCTTGTGTCGGGAGCAGAGACTGGAGCACAGAACGAAGCACATTCCTCTCCGCTACTTTCTTGCTCGTGAGCTGCAGCAGCGTGGTCAGTTGCGACTTGCGTACGTGGCCTCTGAGGCCAACACTGCTGATATCTTCACTAAGGCACTTGCGCCTTGTGATCATCAGCGCTTCTGTACTCAGCCTGGTCTTGTGCCTGCCTTGCCTCACTTACTCACTTCTTGACCTTGCTTGTACTGTCACATATATATACTCCTGCTCTTGCTTGTTTAGCCTTTTATATATGTAGGTGCTCCTTCATGTGAACTGGCCTTCTGGACTTGAACTTGTGCTCGGAATGTGTGGTGACTTTGTGATCCACCCTGAGCTTTGCTTTGTTTTGCTTGACTGGTCTTGTGACCCGTTGTTCTCCCCCAATTTGCCTATGGGGGTGTGTCAAATCATAATGTTCTGTAGGCTGTAGTGGGGTAGCCTATATGGGGTACACATTTCTAGGGTTGCATATTTGTACCACTTTCCATTCCTTAGTGCACTCATTCTCGTTTCAGTTTTCTCACCATCCTCACGCGCGAGCGTGTGCCGTACGCCACCTTACGTTCACCAAAGTTTTCGGAGGTGGAGTGCGAAGGATTCTGAGTCGCTCTCATACCATGCTGCAATCAGAAAGTCATCGTCCCTAGGATCACCTTCGGAAGGTTCGCAAACGTCTGGGTAGTGGTGGTGGGCCCTTGACCTTAATAGTAGAGTGAATGTAAAATGTTTGAGATGAAAAAGGCATGCAAATACAAATATATATTTTAGGGTACAGGGGAATTCGAAACGACCTTGCTAGCCCTGTACTCTAATGGATACATTCCCTCATTACATCAAAATCCAACCGTGCGACTCCAGACAGTTACGAAACTGTTCGGGCAGAATCCTCGCCACTGCTGCTGCCTGATGCTGTCTGCCCGACGGTCCAGATCCTTTGGTAACCATACGAAGAAGTCTCGGTAGTGCGTGCTTCGATTGCCGCGGTATGGAGTGCACATTAATTCATTCATTTTCCAGTATCCGGTACACTATCCTTGTTATTAGTACCGTCCGAATGAGAAAAAAAACGGAATGTCCTAAAAAACACAATATGGCAAAATGGTTACACGCCCTTAACACAATTCAATATGGTTGTGAGAATGGTTCAGTATTGATATTTTTGCTGGACTCTGACTCCTGTGTAGGGCCCACAAAAGAAGGAATCAATTTTCCACATTATGACCCTCTTTAGAGTTAGCGGTTCATCCCCACACCCCCCCTCATCAAGACTTCAATTTCACTGTGCGGAGTCGGTGGCCTGTCCTGCACCGCACAGCTCGTATGCGCATGTGAGCTTGTTGTCGTTATCATGAAAGGCAACTGTTGCAATACGAAGGCTTCCGGATTTCTTGCTTGCGATGCGATAAAATGGCCGCGAAATCTGACGGAGCTCCGGCTCTCAGGCCTTCTCGAACCTTGTGATTGGCTCGTCTTTATGATACCAGAAGATCTAGCGCCGCTAAGGAGAGGTCATCTATCACCGCAGCATCCCACTTGGAAGTCGAGGCTGATATTGATCTTGGGCAGGGAAACCTTGGGAAACTTCATGTGTAATTGTTCAATTGCCCTATCTCGTCTAAAAGTTGGACAAGCATGTCGTCACCTGGTCGCAGCACCCCCACAAACCTTAGCTTTTAGATTCAGTCGAAGATATCGCAGGATCACAGTCCTAGCAGGGTATGGGCGACACAATACCCCAGATTCTCAGCCCTATCAGGGTTTGATCTCTTGTGAATGAGCATGCCTGACTCCCATGGCCTCGCTCGAGGTTTGGTACTTGCATGCCTCAGATGCAGACATGTGGAAGAGGTTGGAAGCTGTTTGTACACCAATTCTTCTAAAATAGGTCAATAGTTTGCGGATAATTCTACCTGGATTCAAGTTCGTCTGTGACATTGTCACGCTGGGTTTGCCTTCCGAGTCCTGCATAGCATTTTGTTCAGGCAGAAAGATATATACTTTTGATTACCAGCATCGCAAGTTTATAGACATCTATAGTAGTATTAAAAATTGCATTTCTTCCAGAAATATCTATTGAATAATGAGAGTATCATTAATCTAAAACAAGCAAACAAAATTATGTCAATAATATATATTTAGATATTAGGTCAATAATATATTCAACGTCATATTTATAATATATGTCTGACCTTTTCTGAAATGATGTTTTTATTTGTCAGCTACCAACAATAATGATACCTAAATGACTAATACAATATATATTTACATATGAATATTTCTTTAAATTCTATCTTTGTTTTGTTGAAAATTTATAGTTTATTGTTATCAAATCTTATGTGCTAGGCCTTAATCTCATGACCCTTTTTTTAACATAATAAAGGGATATGAGCATTCTATATCTGTCATACAATACTCTTTGGTTCCGACTTAGTCCAACATTCTACTTCCTCCACCCGCAAAAAAAAAAAGATAAAAATACATTTGCGTTTCTCATAGGTGATATAAACGTATGAATATCATTGTTGAACCTTTCCGGTAAAACAGTGTATATGAAATTCTGTGGTTCTCGGGAAAATTGTTTTCATCCATGCGGAGGTGGACAACAGCAACCAATCCCGGTGTCGCTAAACCACGGAATTGCTCTTGCGTTTGATCTTGCCCACGACTCTGCGACCTCATGGGTCGTCGCATGACTGTCGCAGAGGGTGGCCGGCATGCGACAGATGGGACGCGAATGCATGAAACGCGACGCAATGGGTCGGGAGGAAAGTCGTTGGCGAACCAGCAATGGCAAGGAGAATGCCGCTGATTTGGTTGGGCCTCCCTCACCAAACCGAGCTGGTCTGGCGGTGGCATGCATCCCCAAGGGTCGCTTCGTCGTCATGTTGTGGAACAGCAACTGTATGCTTGAAATCTGCAAGTCTCAGCCAATGGTGGCAGTTCAAAACTGGCTGGGTGCAGAGCTGTGGTATGGTGCGACTGGATGGCATGGCATGAATGGTACACTGTGCTTTGTGATTGGCCTTCGTGGTTGATGGGGAATGGTCATGGCGGAAGGTCAGGCAGGTGCGGTCAATCCCGACATGGAATTCGAGGAGGTTCCCGAAGAAGCAGATGGCTGATTTTTGCATACCAGCCAGAAGTTCGGCAGGGCATGCATGCGGGATATCTGTGACGGTGGGATGTAAGTGAATTCCGCATGAATTTATCACCCTGATACTACCTTGGAGTTCTCCCTGTCAGCCAAGCAATCTTCCCTCCTGACTTACAAATTCTCACAGCTCATATCGTTTTCTCCATCAGGCTTTTTCCTGTCCAACAGTGACAACGAGCTAGTCCCCTGTTCGCCCCCTCTGGTGTTTTAGGGCTTTCTTCGCCCTCCTGGTCGCTGCTTACCGAATCTCATTTGCACACATGCATTAATGGGATCCGTGGAAGTGCTCGTAGCAACGGCTTGTCGACTACGCAGAGTGGAGTCGATGTCCGTGCGTCGACGAAGAGACTACGCTTCCAGAATTGACGCTGATCCGTTGGACTTAGCAGCAACCTCTTATGTTCAGGGATCATCGCAAGCGATCGGCATTAAACGGGACGCTAGGGGAAACGCTTCCACCCATAATGAAGAGTCGTCTGGTCGCTTTGCTGAACAGGAAGCTTTCTGCCCTTCACAGGAGTCTGTGTCGGTTGCCGAGGTAGGAGCTGATGGGACGCATGTAACGGCATCTCCGTCCGTGGCTGAGTGCTGGTTGGAACGTACCAGATGCCACGTATCAAGAGCAAGGACGCCAACTGCTTCCGGAATCGTCGAACGGGATCCTGTGAATCCTGATTCGTCGTTTGCGACTCGAAAGACGGATATCACTTCAGTTGCTGGAGGGTCGAGTCGCATCCTGCCTGGTGTCACATGCGAAGAGCAGTTAGACGAAGATGACGATGACTTAACAACTGTCGCTCATCCATCTCCCAAGCGTCAACGATCGGTAGATTCCATTGGTTGTAAAGAAACCGTCGACACCTCTCCTTGCCCGTCTGATGCCAGAAACAGCACTCCTATATCGCAACCAGCTCGTGATCTCAATGATTGTGGCCTTGTGAACGAGGTGAGACTTCCAGTCCGTCCTCCTGTTATTCATCCATGTCCTATGTTTGAAAGCTGACGCTAACCGTCTCTCTGACTTTGCAGGCAACAGCCGTGTACGATACTGAAATATGGAATAATCTTCTTCTGAAGGAGCAGCAAGTTCAGTCTCCATGGGGGTACATAGGTTTGTCTCAGAAGCATCTCTTACCTGATCACAGACGCATCATGGTCAACTGGCTAGTCGAGGTAAGAATGGCGTTAACAATCTTTCGCAACACGCTTCAAGTCCATGGATCGGATCTGACTCTATTGTTATGTGAATGACAGTTTGCAGAAGAGTTTGAGCTTCAATGCGAGACGCTTTCCCTTGGGGTGAATATTTTGGACCGGGTCCTTGCCGACGGACCTCCAGTTCAAACTGGTGATCTTCAATTGCTAGGAACGGCGTGTATGCTGGTTGCTGTGAAATTCCAGGAGTCACAGCCACCTAAGTGAGTTTGAGAAAGGATCCTCTTCGTCGTATACCTATTTCTGTTTCTCCAGTAATTACCACTTGCTCATGTCTCTTTTTTTTTGGCTGCAGCATGGTTCAATGCTGTTGTCAGGCGGCAGAAGGAAGCTTCAGTCAAGAACAGGTGCTGCAGAAAGAGTTCGATGTTCTGAAGACGATCAAGTTCGACTGTGCTATGCCAACCGTCCACACCTTTTTGTGGTAAATAAAGATGGTTGTGTCTTAGTTTTTTTTTTTTCGATAGTCTTCATAACTCAGCGGCGTGACTTGTTTTTTTTCTCTTAATTTTATTTCAGGCATCATCTAAAGGCGGCCGATGCCGATTCTAAGTTGGAACAGATGGCCGATTACATTGCGTGCTCTTCATTGTTGGAATATGACCTGCTCAAGTATCACCCATCTGCAATCTCAGCAGCGACCGTTCTGCTCGCTGCATCAGTGCTGAAAGGCACGCCATGGACTTCCAGTATCGAGGTGCGTATACCTCCATTTACATGTTGGTGAGGTGCCCTGAAGCAGGTTTGAAAAAAAAGTGGTGCTTTGTTATGTGCAGCTGTTTGTGGGGCACACTGCTTCAAGCGTCGGTGACATCATCAGAGTTCTCCAGCAGGGTCTTTCTACGCCTCCTAAACCCACCTTAAATGCACTAAAGACCAAGTTCGAGAGGGAGCAACACCTGGACGTGGCTACTTTACTTCATAATAGCATTGCTAATATCTGCCCTAAACGCCCGCCTAATGGCAGTGGCACTGCCTAGAATATGTAGTATGCTCCTGCAACAATAAGGTGCTCTGATGGGTTTTTCGTGGTTTGAAGCGCCATTCGCTTTCTTGTTGCTGCTCTGAAGTTGTGTATCCATCAACTAAGTCCAATTTTCTTTGATTGAGAAAAAAATATAGCCTACACACATAGCGATTTTAAAAATTGTGTATTATGAAAGCCAAGCTGCTTTTTGTTAAACTTAATATGTGTTAGTTCTGTGTAGGCTATAGTGAAGTAGCCAATATGGGGTGAGTACTTGTACCCACATTTCATTCAATGCAACTATCCCTACTTGCTGTCTTGACATAATTTCAGAGCAATAGATCCGTAGGACCCCTTTTTTTTTTCGGGCCCACCATACTTAGCTTCCGGCTGCGGTAACCGCGTTACCCCACTACCTTGCGTCGCGTTGCCCGGCGCACGCCCTGCCTTGCCCCGCGTCGCGCTGCCTAGCGCACGCCCTGCCCTGCCCTGCCTGGCGTCACCCTGCGCCAGCGCCCTGCCCTGCGCCGGCGCCCTGCCCTGAGCCAGAGCCATGCCCTGCGCGCGCTGGTGCATTGCCCTGCGCCAACGCCCTGCCCTGCGCCCGCGCCCTGCCTTGCGCCAGCGCTCTGCTAAACCCTAAAAAAAATTAAATTATTAAAAAAAGGCCCTAGGTGCTTCTGCCCTAGGAGCTGGTATTCCCTACTGCTGCCCTGTTGTGGCCGCGCGCCGCCCTGCTGCTCTTCTTGCTGTTGCTACTACTCGTGCTACTGCCTTCACTCCGTACTGCCCTAGAGGTCGCGCTCCTCCTAGCTTGCCCGCCATGACTTCCCTTTGTCGTACCGGTGGGAGTGGTGACGGCGGTGGTGGCAGCAATGGGAGTGGTGGCGGCCGTAGTAGCGGTCACTGTGGCGCTGTTTGGTGCGGAGTGTCTGGCGGTGGCCAGATGCAGCTACGGCGGCGTCCGACCCTTATGCCCCGACAGCTTCGTGAGTGGCTTTACCAGCGTGGGCCGTCTCTGAGTCAGGGTCGCTGCCTGTACGTCATTCGCACAGGTCGTCGAGCTGGTGAGACCTGTGGGACACTTGGTCACGCACAGTCCCGCTGTTTCGCCTATTTGACCGACGCCTGGCGCACAGAGTTTGGCGAAGAGGCTGAGATCCCCCCCTAGCTTGAGCTGCTTAGGTCGGGCGTTGCTGTCTTTGCTTTAGACTTTGACGCCATCCTTACTGCCATGTATGCTTTGCCTGGTGGTGTTGAGCGTGACTATCACGTGTGCGTGCAGTACGACCCCGGTATAGAGGTTGCTAATCTAGGTGCTAGTGAGGCTGCTGCCTTAGCTGCTAGCGAGTCTGCTTCCTCAGGTACTGCGCCTGCTGAGGCCTTGCACACCTTCACGCTTGACTCAGGTGCTTCTCGCTGTTTCTTTCGTGACAGTACTGCATTCACACCACTCACTGCACCTGTTGCAGTCTCTCTAGCTGACCCCTCAGGGGGCCCAGTTCTTGCACGGTCCACCACTGTGCTTCCGTGCCCGGCGGTTCCGTCTGGCTCACTGACAGGCTTCCACCTCCCCTCGTTCTCAACGAATTTGGTGAGCAACGCAGTTCTCCAGGACCAGTGGGTTGACACCTTTACCCCTGGAGGACAGCGTGTGGCGATCTGTACGTGCTTCCGGACCGGCCGCCACCTGGCCATGTTTACCCGTCGGCCAGGGTCGAGTCTTTACACACTGAAGACTGCGCCTCCTCAGGTAGCTGCTACTGATCAGGTGTCTTCGTCAGGCCAGGTAGCCTCCCCTTGTGAGTGTTGTCAGTAGATCTGCACTGTGGATGCCCGATTGATCCTGGAGAGGGTTACAGGCGCGTTCGCCTGGGGGGTTATGGGCGCACTGATCCGCTACTGAAACAAGCCCTTTTATCCCAATGGTCTAGTGGTTGGGATTCTGACATGGTATCAGAGCGGTCTCGGTTTCGATTCTCGGTTCACGCTTCCGGGCTCACCACAGCAAAATGGGGTTGCTGAGCGCCGCATTGGCTTAGTCATGGAGGTCGCTCGTACCTCTTTGATTCATGCGGCTGCCCACCATTTTCTGTGGCCGTTTGCGGTCCGGTACGCCGCGCAGCAGCTCAACCTCTGGCCCCGTGTCTCCTTACCGGATTCCTCGCCCACACTGCGTTGGACGGGGGAGGTTGGCAATGCGTCGCGTTTCCGGGTCTGGGGTGCTCGTGCCCTTGTCCGTGATACGTCTGCGAACAAGCTCTCCTCCCGCACCATTCCCTGTGTCTTCCTTGGCTTTGTCCCTGAAGCGTCTGGCTGGAAGTTTTACCACCCCACCTCGCGCCGTGTCTTCCCCTCTCAGGACGTCACCTTTGACGAGTCGGTTCCTTTCTACCGTCTCTTCCCCTACCGCACTGCCCCTCTCCCTCCCCTGCCGCTTTTCCTCGCTCCAGGTCCCCCTCCGGTAAACCCCCTCCCGCCTCAGGGTCCTCCTCCTTCTGGTGTGTCTCAGGTAGACCCGCCCCCCTTGGCTGAGCCTGTAGAGGTCACTAACGACTCAGGTGCTGCTGCGGGAGGTACTGCTGGGGGTGCTGCTTCTGAGGGTGCTGAGCCTGCGCATGAGGTGCTAGGGAGTGCGAAGCCTGGGGGTGCTGAGCCTGCGGCTGCGGAGTTTGGGGGTGCTGAGCCCGTCTGTGAGGTGCCGGGGGGTGCGGAGCCTGGGGGTGCTGAATCTGCTGGCGTTCCTTTGGGTCTCGTTTCACGACGCGGGCCTATCTCACCACAGAAAGCACGAGAGTGGCTTGCGTCGCGTACCCGCCTGCGGAGTCGTGCTGCTGGAGCTGCTTCTCGTGGAGGCGCTAGGATTGCTGGTGTCTCTGGTCCTGGAGGTGCTCGTACTGGAGGTACTGGAGCTGCTGGGACTGCACGTGCTCCTGGAGCTGGAGGTGTCGGCTCTGGGGGTGCTGCTGCTGGAGGTACTGGGGCTGGAGGCCCTGGAGCTGGTGTTGTCGACCCTGGAGTTGGAGACCCTGGAGCTGGAGGTGCCGTTTCTGGGGGTGCTGCTGCTGGAGGCCCTGGCGCTGATCCTGTCGACCCTGGAGTTGGGGACCGTGAGGCTGGAGGTGCCGATTCTGGGGGTGCTACTACTGGTGGCGCTGGAGCTGGAGGTTCAGGAGCTGCTGGAGGCGCTGGAGCTGGAGGTACTGCTGCTGGAGTCCCTGGAGCTGGAGGTACTGCTGCTGGAGGCGCTGGAGCTGGAGGTGCTGCTGCTGGAGTTGCTAGAGCTGGAGGTTCTGGAGTTGCTGGAGGCGCTGGAGCTGGAGGTGCTGCTGCTGGAGGTGCTGGAGCTGGAGATTCTGGAGCTGGTAGTGGTGCTGGAGCTGCTGGTGCTGGTGGTGCTGCACAGCCACGACTGTTATTTGCTCCGCCGTCTCCGTCTTCTCTACCACTGCCTGACTCTGTGCTTCACCAAGTTGTTAGCCTCCCGTCGTCTACTGGTCTTCCGTTACAGCCTGGCTCAGCGCTACCTGCTCCTTCTCCTTACACTGAGCACTTAGGAGGTCTTGCTGAGCGTCGTGAGCCTGCGTCGCGTCCTGTCTCGCCTGTCCGCACTGGTCGTCGTGTTCCTCGTCCGCGTCCGCCGGCTGTCCCCGGCACACACCTCATGGCTCTGCGTCGGTCCTCTGCTCCGTAGCGTGTTCCTCTGCCGTCTCCTCCTGTGTCTTCTCTGCCTGTCGTTGTTGACCCTGAGTTGGACCGGTTTCGTGCTGAGCACCCTACTGTCACACGTCTGCTAGCCACTATTGTCACTGACCCGTCGTTTGAGTCTGCTGTTGCGTCTGCCTTTGTCGCTGAGCTTGCTGACTTTGCTGCTGCCTGTCGTCTAGACTACGCCGCTAGTCTTGTTGCTGAGTCTGAGTCTGTCTGTCCTCCGTCCGTCGGGGGTGAGTATGCTCTTGGCACGAACGTCCTTGAGGGCAGGCAGGAGGACCTTGAGTGTCTTGCAGCCGCGGCGCCTCATCTCGTGGCCATGCTACTTGCCCGTGAGGGAGACCCGGATGCTCCAGACATCCCGTCCCCGCGCTCTTACGCTGAGGCAATCGCGGGTGAGTACTCCTCTCAGTGGCAGACAGCCATGGACGCAGAGATGGCATCCTCGAAGTCCACAGGCACTTACGTTGACGAGGTTCCCCCTCCCGGGGCGAACATCGTCGATGGCATGTGGATTTTCAGGATGAAGCGGCCGCCAGGTTCTCCGCCTGTCTTCAAGGCTCGTTATGTTGCTCGAGGTTTCAGTCAGCGAGAGGGAGTAGACTTCTTCCAGATCTTCTCCCCCACCCCGAAGATGACCACTCTTTGGGTGTTGCTGCACGTTGCCGCTCAGCGTGACTACGAGCTTCACTCTCTTGACTTCAGCACAACTTTCTTACAGGGCAGCCTGCACGAGGAGATCTGGCTGCGCCGCCCGCCTGGCTTCACTGGGTCGTTCCCTCCTGGTACCCAGTGGAGCCTCCGGCGGCCGGTCTACGGTCTCCGCCAAGCGCCACGTGAGTGGCACGACACACTGAGGACGACACTTGCGGCTCTTGGGTTTGCTCCGTCGACTGCTGACCTGTCGCTGTTTCTGCGCACCGACACTTGGCTGCCGCCGTTCTACATCCTCGTGTTTGTCGACGACTTGGTCTTTGCCACTGCTGACACTGAGGCTCTCGCCCTGGTGAAGTCGGAGCTGCAGAAGAGACATACGTGCACAGACCTGGGTGAGCTGCGCAGCTACCTTGGCTTGCAAATCACCCGGGACAAAGCACGCCGCACCATCACACTTACTCAGTCACACATGGTGCAGCAGGTCATTCAGCGCTTTGGCTTCACGTGGTCCTCGGCACAGACCACTCCTCTGGCTACAGGTCACTCGCTTTCAGTTCCACCTTCGGACGAGTCTGTAGAGCGGAGTGGTCCTTACTCAGAGCTAGTGGGGTGCCTCATGTACCTGATGACCTGCACTCGTCCTGA